CTCTGTGACTTACTAACTTTGTAATTGGAGGTTTGTACTAGATAATCCCCTTCACCCATCCACCCATGTCCCCTCCCCTCTGGCAACCACCAGTTTGTTCTCTGTTTAGGAGTTGTTTTTATTTTTTTTATTGTTTGGTTTTTTAGATCCCACATATGAGTGAGCTAACATGGTATTTGTCTTTCTCTGACTTATTTCAATTGGCATAATATTCTTAACTCCATCCACATTGTTGCAAACGACAATATTTCATTCTCTTTTTATGGCTGAATAATATTCTAGTGTGTAAGTGTGTGTACCACTCTTTCCTAATCCATTCCTCTACTGATGGACATTTGGACTGTCTTCATAGTTTGGCTGTTGTTGATAGTGCTGCCTGTAAACATCGGGGTGCATGTGCCCTTGAAATCTGTATTTTTCTATCATTTGAATAAATACCTAGTGTGCAATTACTGGGTTGCAGCATAGTTCTACTTTTAAGGTTTTGAGGAACCTCCATACTGTTGTCCAGAGTGACTGTACCAGTTTGCGTTCCCATCAACAGTGCATGAATGTTCCTTTTTCTCCACGTCCTCGCCAACACCTGTTGTTTCTGTGTTGTTACTTTTAACCATTCTGACAGGTGTGAGGTGGTATCTCCTTGTGGTTTTGATTTATATGTTGCAGATGATGACTGATGTTGAACTATCTTTTCATGTGTCTCTTGGCCATCTGGATGTCTTCTTTGGAAAAGTGTCTATTCATGTCTTCTGCCCATTTCTTAACTGGATTTTTTGTTTTCTGGGTGTGAAGTATTATGATTTCTTTATAGATTTTGGATACTAACTCTTTATCTGATATGTCGTTTGCAAATAATCTCTTATTCTGTAAGTTGCCTTTTAGTTTTGTTGATTGTTTCCTTCGCTGTGCTTTTTATCTTGGTGGGGTCTCAATAGTTCATGTTTGCATTTGTTCCCCTTGCCTCCAAAGACACGTCTCATAAGTTGCTCCAGTCATTGTCAAAGAGGTTACTGCCTGTGTCTTACTTTAGGATTTTGATGGTTTCCTGTGTCACATTTAGGTCCTTAATGCATTTTGAATTTATTTTTGTGTGTGGTGTAAGAAAGCAGTCCCATTTCGTTCTTCCACATGTGGCTTTCCAGTTTTCCCATCACCACTTGTTGAAGAGGCTGTTTTTTCTCCATTGGATATTCTTTCCTGCTTTGTCGAAAACTAGTTGTCCATATAGTTGTGGATTCATTTCTGGGCTTTCTATTCTGTTCCATTGATCTGTGGGTCTGTTTTTGTGCCATACTGCCTTGATGATTACCGCTTTGTAATACAGCTTGAAGTCCGGAATTGTGATGCCTCCAGTGTTGCTTTTCTTTTCCAAGGTTCCTTTAGCTATTCAGGGTCTTTTGTGGTTCTGTACAAATTCCAGGATTGTTTTTTCTAGCTGTCAAAATGTCAAATGGTATTTTGATAGGGACTGCTTTAAACATGTAGATTGCTTTGGATAGTATCAACATTTTAACAGTAGTTTTGTTCTTCTAATCCATGAGCGTGGAATGTCTCCATTTCTGCCATCTTCTGTTTCTTTCATCAGTGTTCCATAATTTTCAGAGTATAGGTGTTTCACCTGTTGGGTTGGCTTTGTTCCTAGGTGTCTTATTGGTGGAATTGTAAATGGGACCAATTCCTCAATTGTTCTCTGCTGCTTCGTTATTGGTGTATATAAATGCAACAGGTTTCTATACGTTTGTGTTGTATCCTGCAGCTTTACTCAATTTATCAGTTCTAGTAGTTTTTTGGTGGAGTCTTTCAGGTTTTCTACTTAGAATATCACGTTGTCTGCGAATAGTGAAAGTTTGACTTCTTCCTTGCCCATTTGTATGCCTTTGTATGCCTTTTATTTCTTTTTGTTGCCTGACTGCTGTGGCTGGGACTTCCAGTACTGTGTTGAATAATAGTGTTGAGAGTGGACATCTCTGTCTTGTTCCTGATCTCAGCAGAAAAGCTCTCAGTTTTTCTCCATTGAGGATGATGTTAGCTGTAGTTTGTGGTCTTCATGACCATGTTCCCACTACACCTGCTTTGTTGAGGGTTTTTATATGAATGGATGTTGTACTTTGTCACATGCTTTTTCTGAATCTATTGAAATGATTATTTGATTTTTGTCATTTCTCTATTAGTGTGGTGTATCATATTGATTGATTTATGAATGTAATCACCTTTGCATCCCCAGAATAAATCCCACTGATTGTGGTGAATGATTTTTTTTAATTCTTTATTTATTTTTGAGAGAGAGACAGCGAGACAGAGTGTGAGTGGGGGGAGAAACAGAGAGAGAGGGAGACACAGAATCTGAAGCAGGATCCAAGCTCTGAGCTGTCAGCACAGAGCCCGACGTGGGGCTTGAACTCACGAACCACAAGATCATGACCTGCGCTGAAGTTGGACGCTTAACCGACTGAGCCACCCAGGTGCCCCATGAATGATTTTTTAAATGTATTGATGGATGTGGTGGTGGTGGTTTGTTATTTTTATATCCATGCTCATTAGGGATATTGGCCTATACTTCTCTTCTTTTTATTGTCTTTATCTGGTTTTGATACAGTGCTGGCCTCATAAAGAATAGTATAATCCATTCATATATTGATGAACCCTTGGGCTGCTTCCATATCTTGGTTATTGCAAATAATGCTGCTGTAAACATCGGGGTGCACATATCCCTTTGAATTAGTGTTTTTGTATTCTTTGGGTAAATACCCAGTAGTGCAGTTGCCTAGAATTGTTGACTAGTTCTATTTTTAATTTTTTGAGGAACCTCCACACTGTTCTCCAGAGTGGCTGCACAAGTTTGCATTCCCATCAACAGTGCAAGAGGGTTTCCCTTTCTCTGCATCCTCACGTACACCCTTTGTTTCTTGTGTTAATTTTTGCCATTCTGACAGGTGTGATGTGATATCTCGTTGTGGTTTTGATTTGTATTTCTCTGATGATGAGTGATGTTGAGCGTCTTTTCTTGTGTGTGTTGGCCATCTGGGTGTTTTCTTTGGAAAAACATTTCTTTAGTTCCTCTGCCCATATTTTAATTGGATTTTTTTCTTTTTGGTTTTGAGTTGTGAAATTTTTTTTAAATATACTTTGGATATTAATCCCTTATTGTATATGTCTTTTGCAAATATCTTCTCCCATTCGGTAGGTTGCCTTTTTATTTTGTTGATTGTTCCTTTGCAGTGCAGAAATGTTACCCTCTTTGTTACAGTTGTTTTCTTTTAAAATCTTTTTTTTTAATGTTTGTTTATTTTGGGAAGAGAGAGAGTGCCAGTCGGGGAGGTGCAGAGAGAGGGAGACAACAGAATCCGAAGCAGACTCCAGGCTCCCAGCTGTCAGCACAGAGCCTGACGCGGGGCTCAAAGTCACAAACCGCGAGATCATGACCTGAGCTGAAGTCGGCGCTTAACCGACGGAGCCACCCAGGCACCCCAGTGTTACCCTCTTTGAATGAAAGATCCTGTATAGACTTCACAGCAAAAAACCCCACGAAAACAAAAAAGTTCCTATTTATACAATAAGTAAAATACATATTAGCATATTAGAGGTTTTATTTGTGTGTATAGTCTTTTTTACTTGAAACACTCACCTGAAAATTTATATAAAAAGTCTTGTTTCCTGATAAAATTTGACCTTTGTTTTTTCATTCATTCCACAAATATTTATTGAGTGTCTACTATGTGCTGTGCAGGGTGTTAGGAGAGATAAAGTGGTGATTGAAGTACTGCTTTTTGCTCATGGGGCTATATTCTCCAGAATATACATTCTGAAGAAAGAGGCTCAAAAAAGAAACGGACAGAATATGTTTCTTCACAAGACGTGAAAGAGTGTTATGAAAGGAAACAAGGACTAAAACAGAATGAGGGAGTGTAAGGACTGCTTTTATTGGTAATGGTACTTAAGATGGGTAGACCAGAAGGATCTGTCTGCTGAACTAGCATTTAATGTGCATATGAACCAGAAGGAGGGCGGGAGCCAGGCTGGGAGTGGAGGCCAGACCTCCTGAGGAACTGTCTTCTGCTCCAGGCCCGCCTGGGACCATGGAGACGGTCTGAACAGGAACGTGGCAGGCTCTCCTAGTATTCATTGAGAAATGAAAAATGTCATCTCAAGGAAGAAAATTCAGGACTATCTGTGCACATGAGAGCGAATGCTAATTTACATGGATCTGTTTTATACAGTTTGATGCTCATGTTTTGTGTAGGCTAAAATAGTTGCTTTTCTTTTTTAGCTGGATGAACTACAGCTTTGCAAGAACTGCTTCTATTTGTCAAATGCTCGTCCTGACAATTGGTTCTGCTACCCTTGTGTATGTGAAATTTTGTGATTTTCTGTTTTTTACCTCTTAAGTGTGTGATGTACTATTCTAAGCAAGGCTATTTCCAATTTATTTAAGGATTATAATCCTTCCTAGGTATTTTTCTTTGTATCATAGTATATACATGGGCTTAGTGAGCATAAAACCTGAAACACAGGGGAAACAACTTGGCATCATTACCCATTTCTGACTTTAAAATGAGGAACTTCAGAATAAACCCTTAAGAGATAATAGAGTGAACTTCTGCTCTTCCCGTTTTTTTCACAAGAAAGATAAGGCTTCCTGTATGCTTGTGGCTATGTGTGGTCCCCTGGAATGACAGGATTTCAGGAAGGTCCCGACTGGTCTGTGCCTGTGGTCGGGGCTGCGCCCAGCCCTGGGCGTGCCAGGCTGCCTGTGGAGGACGACCCTGTGCTCCTCAGGTGCTCTGGGGTCTCTGTGATTCCCTAAGCCTGGAGCAGGACCTCAGACTTTCACATCTCTCACAGGCTCCCAGGTGCTGGAGTGCACCTTACAATGCAGTGAGGGTGTTGTGTTTGCCACTGTTACTCACGGGGTCTCGCCTTGGAGACTGGCTCGTCCCTAAGTGCTGCAGGCTGTGTTTTCTGAGAGATGAGGGTCCATATCTCTGCTCTTATGCAGACTGTAAGTTTTTGGTGCTTTACTTGAAGGCAGAATCAATCCGAGAAAAAAAAAAGCTCTATGGGTTTAGGAGTTAAAAAAAAAGAAGTGTTTTCAAAATACTGCACTATACTTCCTAAGTTGAGTATTAATGACATGTGTGCATTTAATACTTTGAAAATAACATGGTTACATAAAACATTTTATTTCCAGATACCTAATCATGAACTGGTTTGGGCCAAAATGAAAGGTTTTGGTTTCTGGCCAGCCAAGGTCCTACAGAAGGAGGACAACCAGGTTGACGTTCGCTTCTTCGGTCACCACCACCAGAGGTAAGCGTGATCCTGCGCCCACCAGGGCTGACCTCTGAGTGACCCTTGGGTCATCCATCAGATGGTCCTTGGTACTGGGAGGGCAGAAACAGTCTGTAGTTCAGTTTGGAGAAACAAATCACATCACCTTGGTGTTTTGTTGTTGTCGTTGTTGTTTTTGCATTTATTATCCATTGCTCTATTTGGTTAATTATCTTTTCCTTTTTTCTTGAGAGTTCAATAGATAAGTGCAGGGGAAAAAATTAATAAAAACCAGGAAATCTAGTACCCAGAATAGGAAATTACTAATACTTTGCCATTTTTGCCTTTTGTTTTGTTTTGGCTTTTAAAGTTTTTATTTAGTTCCAGTTAGTTAATATATGGCAGATCAGCATGTAGCCTGACGAGGCAGCTGACGACGATTTTTGCAAATGGTACTTGTAGTTTGGGCTCCCGACATGGTGTGATGCAGTACAGGCTCGTGCTGGGATTGCGTGGTGAGGCGGGTGTGGAAGGGCTCTAAGAATGTGGCCACTTCATGGTTTGTGAAGACAGGATGCCGTTTCAGGCACCTTTTCAAAGCTCTGTTAAAAGCCACAGACAAAAATCATCGACGTGGGAGCAGGAGACCATGTCGATCTTGTGATCTAAGGATGTGCATAAGAATTACCGGAAGGGAACTGCCAGACATGGTATCCAGCCTATATTTTGAAGTTCCTGTTGCCAGGGAGATGTGTACAGCCCAGCTTAAAACTTTACGTTTTCATGATACAGTATCTGTATCCCAACAGTAAAAAGTTTCTATTACTGTGAACTTGCTTTTATTAAAAAAAAAAATTTTTAATGTTTATATGTATTTTTGAGGCAGAGCATGAGCAGGGCAGGGGCAGAGAGAGAGGGAGACACAGAATCTGAAGCAGGCTCCAAGCTCCGAGCTGACAGCCAGAGCCTGATGCGGGGCTTGAACTCACGAACCACGAGATCATGACCTGGGCCGAAGTCGGACGCTCAACCAACTGAGCCACCCGGGCGCCCCTGTAAACTTATTTTTGCATAGTTACGTATTTCATACAAAGAATGTGAACCATACTATGAAATTATAGCTGCCTCTTTCATTGTGATATCAAAGCCTTAAAGTATTGTTCTGAGTAACACTGTCACTAATAGCCGTGACTGGACACTGATGAAAGTTCACAGATACTAAAAGTAAAGGGGAAAAATAGCAAGTCAGCTACATGATCTAAAGGCCTTTCCAAGTATTTAAATGTCTGTCGTGCTTGAAGTTGTGAGAGTTTTATGTAACTGTCATTACTGTGAGAAACTATGGAACAAGAGACTTTATTCCTCTCCATAGTGAATTTTTAGTCTTCATTTAATTTAAATAGAAGTTTAGTGGCAAGAAACCTATGGATAGTGTAAGTTTCCAAAAACGTAGTTCCGTTCCTTCAGAGATAGATGCATCCCTAGCTGATGCTGTCAAGGCAGGAAACATGGGTAATCCCACCATTGACTACAGAATGAATGCTTTGTATGGATTATGAAGTAGCAGCACATTGTATTGGGTTTGTTAACTGTGCCCCATCAGAACGGGGATGGAGGGGTGGGGAGGCCTGGACAGGGGTACGGAGGGCGACCTCTGTAGCAGTGGAGAGGGCCGGTGGGCTCCACCGTGGCTCGTGCTCTGGCATGTGCTTGTCCTGCTCTGGTCTCAGACACGGTGTTCAGTCTCTCTCAGCCTTGTTTCCTCACTTGTAAAATGAGGGCTTCCGTAGCACATCTTGGAAGAGTTTCTCTGTAAGGGTTAAAGAAATGTTGGTACATTCTGATCTAAGCATGGTGCCTGGTGTGCAGCAAATCCTTAATAAAAGTCAGCTTATAGTACAAATATCCAAACAGGGAAGAAGTTTCATTAGTTAACCTAGAGAAACCAAGAATTCAGTTACTTTAAAAAAAAACATACTACTAGGTTAGAACTGATAATCGGAACTTTTTAGCAGATTAAAAAATTTTTCATCCATTTTCCGACAGCTTCATAGTATCTACAACCATGAGTGGTATTTTGATAATGTGAGTTAATCTGTCTTGTGTCATTCATTATACAATGCAGATAGTATTTTAAAATAATATTTGAGGTAATCTCCTTGGGTCCTTGGCATGTTTGTGATCTGAACAGAAAATTACAACATAAAATTCCATTTCCAGAGAGTTTTTTTTTTTTTCTTCCAAACTTATTACTTCCTGGAATCTAAAAAATCTAAAAAATTCTGGACAGATGGCTCTCTGAGGACTTTAGTTTAGAAAATACAGCTGACCCTTGAACAACAAGAGGATGGGGGTGCCAGCTCCCCCCCCCCAGTCCTAACTCACCTATGACTTTTGACTCCCCCAAAAGCTTAACTATAGCCTTTCTGATAATGTAAAGTTAACTCCTGCTTTGTATGTTACATGTATTATATGCTGTATTCTTACAGTAAAGGAGGAGAAAATACATTTACAGCCCTGTCCTATGTCAAAACAGTCTGTGTATGAGTGGACCCCTGCAGTTCAAGCCAGTGTTGTTCAAGAGTCAACTTTAACAGGTCTACAATTTTACTATAAATTCAGAATCTTTTCCTTTCCTTCTCTGGTTACAGTGTGCCTAATAAAATACTTGAACTAAATGAGTGATGAGGACATACCTTATAAGTTACACTGTATCTTACTGGCATATTTGATTTATTAAAAGCAATCTTTATACAGTTATAATAATGAGTTTTAATTAAGCAATATGTTACCAACCAAGAGGAGATGGCTAATAAAGGCCTAGCAGCAAGTTTTCACTAACACTGTTTTTAGCGTCATAACTGTTTACAGGTGCACATCTCGGTGGTGTTGAGTGCATTCATACTGTTAGGCAGCATCACTACCAATAAGTGTTCTTTTGCCAGTTCATCCTATCTTCGGACATAGGCAGGAGAAGGAAAATGTATATAAATCAATGGTCTTACACTAGTCCGCACTGTGTGCTCGGCACAGAGTGTGCTGCCCCTCCCCAGGGCCTATGCAGACTGTGACCAGGAAGAAAGGTGGCTGTGACCGCACTCACTGGAAGCGGGGTTTTGCTAGGATTTGCACGGTTGGCCTGCCAGAGGAAAAAGTAGCGGGGCGGTCTGTGTCAACAAGGCTGAATCTCCGCTGCAGGTGGCCAGGGGCCCCGGGAGCCGGCAGGGAGCTACAGGCAGGAAGGAAGCACACCATTCTGAGCTCATTTGCCATCAGGTTACCGAGCCATTTGATTCCGCGTGTGTTCAGAGCCTTCAGGATTGACAGATGTGCAGACAGAGCCAAATTAGATTCTGCCTCTTTTTATTGGACTTACCTTGAATTGTAGGGTGTCTTTGTAGACCGGATTGCCAGAGATAACCAGAGAACCTCTTTAAAAGTGGCACCTGGGGGCGCCTGGGTGGCGCAGTCGGTTAAGCGTCCGACTTCAGCCAGGTCACGATCTCGCGGTCCGTGAGTTCGAGCCCCGCGTCGGGCTCTGGGCTGATGGCTCAGAACCTGGAGCCTGTTTCCGATTCTGTGTCTCCCTCTCTCTCTGCCCCTCCCCCGTTCATGCTCTGTCTCTCTCTGTCCCAAAAATAAATAAACGTTGAAAAAAAAAAATTAAAAAAAAAAAAAAAAAAAAGTGGCACCTGATCCCCTGCAGTCATGGAGGGGATTATAGGAGAATGGCAACGTGTGTGTGAACCACACTGACGCTTAATTACGTCTCATGTTAAGAGCAGCCTGAATCAGTTTTCTTGTATCCAAGGGATAAACAGATTATTTAAGGAGGAAAAAAAATACCAACAGGTCACAAATTCGTTCCAGGTAGTCAGCACTGTTAGTGACACAAATGTGTCTCAAAAACAGGTTTTCAAAAGTGTAGTTTACTTTGGTAGGGGGCCTAACGAAGCACTGGTGTCAGATGAGACGCTGTGGACGTAATATTTACAGACCCTTGCGTGGCAGGTCACGGCTCCAGCTGTCAGCATATTTAATCTGGAAAGCCTGTGGCCTCACGTGCACAAGCGAGTTCCAAGTCTGCACTTGTGGTTTGTGTGGGTGCAGCGTGCTTCCCTCGACCCTTTGGAACAGTCATGAGGCCGGTGTTTGTGACACTCCGTCCCTGCTGGCCGGAATGGGGGGCAGGGGGAGCTGACCCGGCACACATTTAAACAGGAGGCAGACAAGAATCAGTCTCTTGCTGCTTGTGTGCTGCTCCTCACTTGTCCTGGCTGCTCCAGAGAGCGTCTCCCTAACTGTGGCTCGTGCACCTTGCTGTTTTTGGTCTTGTTTGTGACATTCCCTCTGCCAGTAGCTCCTCTTATGGGGCCTGGTACACGTCGTCCTTGTCCTTCAGGCCCGGCCGCAGCTGTCTTCCTCTCAGGAGCACCCCGTCCCTTCACAGTTGTGACAAACCCAAAGAGCCTTCATGGCAGAGGCTGTGTGGGTGCAGGTGCCATCCTAGAACTAGGATGCTTGCACCCGGGACCCGGGCCCCTGATTCATAGCTCTTACCCAGCGCATCTGGGCAGCGTCTTCTCCAGTGGTCCAGTGAGGCCGGAACATGGTAGCGGCCCCGTGCGTTATTGGAGGAGCTGCAGTGCCTTCTGCTGGCACACGGTGGAGTCCAGTTGGGTGACTGGTGCCCAGGGAAACTTTCTCGAGAACTAAATCAAGTTTTACATCCAGTACTTTTGGGTCAGTACCACACATAATGCAGAGAACCTTACGCTCCTACCTGAGCACCTGGCTGCTGAACAGTAGATGCTGCGAGTCTGAATGTGATGAAACGTAACATGGGGAGGCAGCGTTTGCCCTCATCTCGTGCACACGTATCTGCAAACACACACACCTGTAGTTGTGGTCTGCACAGAGCGAGTCTTGAGTAACGGAGTGGCAATGGGAGGAGACTCTGGAAAAAGGACTTAGGAACAGGCTAACTGGGTTGAAGAAGGCCGTGACGGTGCTGAGGGGTTTTGAGGTATTTGAGAGTCGGCCCTGTTCCGAGGACCTGTCCCCTCCTTCCTCCTCCATGTGGGTCTCCCACTCACCCCCGGCCATCACAGAATCTCCCAAGGCCTACTTTGCAGTGGGGAGAATCTGCTGCCGTTTTGGGAATTTCTAACTGTACCTCTGCGGTTACTTGAAGGGCCTGGATTCCCTCTGAGAACATCCAGGACATCACGGTCAACGTCCACCGGCTGCATGTGAAGCGCAGCATGGGCTGGAAGAAGGCCTGTGACGAGTTGGAGTTGCACCAGCGCTTCCTTCGCGAAGGAAGGTTCTGGAAGTCTAAGAATGAGGACCGAGGAGAGGAGGAGGCAGAGTCCAGCATCTCCTCCACCAGTAACGAGCAGGTGGGTGTCCCCATCAGTCACGGTGAGCGTGAGCGCTGCCGGTGCACGTTCCGACAGTTCTTCCTTTCATACAAAGGGGTAACGGGCTCTGCCAAAGGTATCAAAACCAGTTCAGGCAGACAGATAAGCAACCCTGATCCTGCCTCTCTTCCGTAGGCACATTAGTGCCCACCACCACACCTGTGCGGGAGTTCCGTGGGTGGTGACCACGTGGCCGCAGGTGTGCCAAATGCAAAAGGGGGCGGGTTACTCGCTTCTTCCCTGTGGGCCATGGCCAGTGTTGTCAGCACAGAAGTGTTTCACAGCATCTGGAGTAATGTGCTGTTGTTTTTATGATGCCCACAGCTAAAGGTCACTCAAGAACCAAGAGCAAAGAAAGGACGACGTAATCAGAGTGTGGAACCCAAAAAGGAAGTAAGTGGCCCGCCTTGCAGTGTCCAGGTGGCACTGCAACAGGAAGTATCTCCCAAGTTATGGTCAAGACAGTTGGCTCCAACGTACGGCACTTGTGAAAAGGCACTGCCGTCAGATAACATCAACCAGGTTGGAACCCGTCTTCTATCAGTAGAATAAGCCACACACAAACCAGAAGTCTCCTATCTCAGACCAAGTCTGGCTAAGTGGGAGGGCACTTGGCTGCATTTCCTGCAACTCTGCTGGTTTTCTAGTAGCATGATTAAAAACAAAGCACTTGTCCACTACATCAATTGGGTCAACATTGAAAAACTGGAGGAAACGAGGGTTAAGCTCAGCCTTTTAAAATGATAAAGTCTGTTAATGCTCTAAATCCAAGGATTAATCTTAGCACAATTCCAAATACTTAGTGAGAAGTGGTTTAGAATTTTAGGATATCTGTTAATGATCTAGTCCAAAGAAGTGAGTCTAAACTGATAATGGTTTAAGTTTTAAATATTTTTGCTTAGGCTACCTGAAAAGCAAAAGACCCATAGTATTATATGCAATGACATTATAAATGAAGATCCTATTTAGAATTACTGTCTCTATTAATTGAATGGAAGTTTTGAGGGTTTAATTGTGGTAAAATCTGCATAACAGAATTTCCCATCTTAATTCCAGGTTTCTTAACCGTAGTTTATTATGTGGCTATTTATGTGTATCGCTATGTTTTTATCCTAACAGAGCTTGTTCTTGAACTGGCGGACTGGTGGCTTTGTTTCACATCTGAGCACTGTCCTTACCCTTTAGGAACCAGAGCCTGAAACTGAAGCCGTGAGTTCCAGCCAGGAAATCCCCACGATGCCTCAGCCAATCGAAAAGGTTTCTGTGTCCACTCAGACCAAGAAGTTAAGTGCCTCTTCACCAAGAATGCTGCACCGAAGCACACAGACCACCGGTGATGGAGTGTGTCAAAGCATGTGCCACGACAAATACACTAAGATTTTCAATGACTTTAAAGACCGGATGAAGTCTGACCACAAGCGAGAAACGGAAAGAGTTGTACGAGAAGCTCTGGAAAAGGTAAAGCCCCCCCTCCCCTCCCCCCCCCCCAACGAGGACCCTGAGTGTGACGAGAGTTTTCCCGTGGTGGGTTATTAGCAGCTTTCACGTGGGCATCCTCCAGGCTGCTCCTTTGTAAAGCCAGGAACATAATAAGACACCTTTGATAACATTTCAGTTAATAGTAATAACTTGTGTTTCTTCATCGAAGGCGTTGGGAGCTCTTGATGGGTTGGAGGGAAGAGGGGTACCCTCGAAGTAGACGCGGTGTTAGGGTTCTCTTCAGGGTGATGGTCCGTGTGAGTTGAGGGCAGACTGTTACGGGCTGACCTTTTCATTTCAGCTCCGTTCCGAAATGGAAGAGGAGAAACGACAAGCTGTAAATAAAGCTGTAGCCAATATGCAGGGTGAGATGGACAGAAAATGTAAGCAAGTAAAGGAAAAGTGTAAAGAAGAATTTGTAGAAGAAATCAAGAAGCTAGCAACACAGCACAAACAACTGATTTCTCAGACCAAGAAGAAGCAGTGGGTAAGTATCCGTGTTTTTCTGAAAATGTACCACCCAGTGTACTGTAGATGTGATGAAAATCCGTTCAGGAAGACATATGTGGAATGTGCAAAGTTCATACCTGAAGTAAGATCAAATGTGAAATTACCAGCTTTAATTAATTTTAAAATTTTTATTGAAAAGTCCTCTCATCTGTGAAGCCACATGACGAGTATTGCTCAGGATTATTTTGTTAAATTGGGATTGTGAAGTGTCAGTACAAATTCAGCGCATCTAGTTCACGTGACATGTCCGCTGTGCGGGGAATGTATGTGGATAAGCTGGCCGGCTCTTCCGTCTGCCTGTAACTCCTGGTAGCGAACCTCTCGGTTGTGAGACTATAAATGTCAGCATCCCAACGGCAAGTTAAAGATTTTCACATTTTGCTGCCCAACGTTTATCCATTAGACTCTTTTCAGTCGATTTACTTTTTGATCGTAACAGCTCACTGGTCTGTAGCTCCACTTAGAATCTGACGAATTGTCCCCTTTCACAGTGTCCTGTTTGTCACTCTCGTCTTCCCCTAGAACAGGAGCTCTGGGCGCATGTGTCCACCCATCTCAGCTAACTGGTGGTGGAAACGTTTTACTCCCAAAAACTCATCACTTGTTTTTTAATTTTTTTTTAATGTTTATTTATATTTAAGAGACAGAGACAGAGACAGAGTGCAAGTGGGGGAGGGGCAGAGAGAGCGGGAGACCCAGAATCCAAAGCAGGCCCCAGGCTCCAGTGGGTTTGAACCCACACACTAAGATCATGACCTGAGCCGAAGTCAGATGCTCAGCCGAGTGAGCCACCCACGCGCCCCTAGCTTGTTCTTTTTATAATAAGTAACTGGAAGAAGTTTTGTGATTCTTCATTTGATCCAGACTACATTTTCTAAAGTATAATTTATTGTCAAGTTGGCTAACATACAGTGTCTACAGTGTGTTCTTGGCTTGGGGGGTAGATTCCCATGATTCATCTCTTACATACAACACCCAGTGCTCATCCCACCGTTTTCTGAAGAGGGTCTTTACATTACAGTAAATGTTTCCTCCGAAAAGTAAACATTATAAATACTCTGATAAAGAAAAAGGGGAACTTGACGTACATTTCAGGAGAATCTGTAAAGATGACCTGATAGGAAAAGCAGATGAATGAGATAAATATCACTAGGTGGGAATGAAGGTGTGCTCAAAATAATGACCAGCACGAAGCCCCAACACTACGTCCATGATTCTATCTTCATGCAAAGACTAGAGAAAGCTAGAAAGTGGGCAGTAGATATATGGGAAGAACCCCCATAAGTTTACTAAAGGATCAAAATGGGAGAGGAGGCTGGAGTAGGGAATGAGGACACTGCTTTTTCTAGCATGTTCCAGCTGTGAACGAGCAGAAGCTGTGCTGTTAGACCTGCTGTTTATCTAAGTCCACGCGGAAATAATGCTATGCAGTATTTCCTTTCTCAGGGATGAACGGTGCTCTGCTGTGTGTATGCACATACTGCATCTTCTCTGTTCACCCATTCGTGGATGGACACTTAGTGAATGTGGGGCTGTGGGTATCTTTTCAGTATCTGGATTTCATTTCCTTTGGACACATACCCATACGTGGGATTTGCTGGATCAAAGAGTAGTTTTGTTTTTTTATTGGTCGAGGAGCCTCCACACTGTTCTCCAAAGCACCTGCAACACTTTGCATTCCCACCAGCAGTGCACGAGGGTTCCCCTTTCTCTGCATCCTCGCCAACACCTATTGATTCCTGAGTTAATTTTAGCCACTCTGACAGGTGTGAGGTGGCATCTCATCGTGGTTTTTATTTGCATTTCCCAGATGATGAGAGACAGGGACCTGCATAGATCTTTAGAATAGTTTTAAATTAGGTGATTGGTTTTTTTCCATTGAGTTGTAGGAGTAGTTTATTTGGGGCCTGAACCACATATGTCAGATACAGGATTTGCAAATATTTCTGTGTCCACTTGTTTGGTTTTACTTTTGTTGCCTGTGCTTTTGGTGTCTGATCCAAAAAAATCATCGCCAAGACTGATGTCAAGGAGCTTTATTGCCTGTTTTCTTCTAGGAGGTTTATGGCTTCAGGTCTTACATTCAAGTCTTTAATCCATTTTGAGTTAACTTCAGTGTTTGAGCAACGAAAGTGAATCTAGTTTCATTCTGCTGCACGTGGCTGTCCAGTTTTCTGCCTTTCATTGACGAGACTGCCTTCTGTTCTCTTCCACCCCTTTGTTGTAAACTCATCAAGCGGACAGTGCAGGTTTATTTCTGGGCTCTCTGCTCCACTGAGCTGTGCATCTGTTTTCATATCAACACCAGATTGCTTTCATTTATACCCATTTTTTAAATGAGGAATTTTATGAGCTTATGAGATTATGAACAGAGTGACTAAAGAAACACTCTGCTTGTCATGTCTGGTAGATGGGTAAATACAATTAAATCTCACATTACAAAATAATAGAGCATTGCTGGACAGAAAGTATGTAGGTATGCCAAAGTATTTCAGATGCCAGAAAATGGATGTTAAGATGAGATACTAACAACAGAATGTGGTACGGATAGTACACTCTTGGAGTACACCCACAAAGAAAGGGAGAGATCAAGAATGAAGGAGTGCACGCCTAAATAAATGTCCAGGTACTTGAGAGAAAGGATGGCACTGCTTAAGACACGATTTATTTATTTATTTATTTTTTTAACGTTTATTTATTTTTGGGACAGAGAGAGACAGAGCATGAACGGGGCAGGGGCAGAGAGAGAGGGAGACACAGAATCGGAAACAGGCTCCAGGCTCTGAGCCATCAGCCCAGAGCCTGACGCGGGGCTCGAACTCACGGACCGCGAGATCGTGACCTGGCTGAAGTCGGACGCTTAACCGACTGCGCCACCCAGGCGCCCCTAAGACACGATTTAAAGGTGGGGAAATGAAGAAAGAAGTTAAAACACCTGGTCGAGACTCACATGAGTAATTAGCACGTGCCCAGGATTTAAACTCAGATGGGATTCATTTCAGCTGTTTCCAAAATTGAAACATGCTGTCCATGCTTTTCTAATAGTAACTTTACTGAAATTGCAGTAAGGATCACAGGAGACATCTCAAAAGATTGATTTTGATCAGAAAGTACAGCGTATGCAATGAGGAAGAACGAGGGTAGAATCTTAGGTACCACAATGTAGACTGCTCCGCCTGGTCCCATCCCTGGGACTCATCTACCTTTATAGGTCATTCTGTCTGTATGGACCACCTCCAGGTGCCGACACCAAGTGCATCCTTCTCTTCCTTGCCAGTACTGGTTCACCCTCCCTGTATGTGTCTGGGGTCTCACTTTTCTGTTGCCAACTCAGCTTGAGACTGTAGTGTTTATGTTCCCCGAGTCCAAACAGCCCAAACTAGATGAATTCTTCACCCTTGTGTAGACCAGTTTTTCACCCTCAGTTCTGTTCACATTTGGGCCAAGAATTTCTTGTACACAGGCTGCCCTGTGTACCATAGACGTTCAGCAGCATCCCCAGTGTCCTTCCCCGGGCACCAGGAGTACCTGTTCTCCCCACCCAGGTTGTGACCATCAAAATGTCTCCAGATGTTGCCCAATTAGATGAAGGCTGAGAACTGAGCGCTAGTTTCGGGTCAAAAGTGACCTTGATAATAGCATATCCAGTGGAGAGATACAAGTGAAAGAGTGCCTTCGGACTAAGAAAGAAAGGAAAGAGAATAATTGGAAGTAGGAAGTTTGGCAATTCTTGCAAGGAGTTTGTGAAGGGGAAGCAGAAAAACGGGGGGGGGGGGTCGATTGAAAGAGATGGAGTATTTTTTAACTGTGCTTAAACACACATAACCGTGAAGACGGTAAATTTTAAGTGTACACTTCAGTGGTATTAAATATACTCCTGTCGTACAACTATTACCGCAACTTTTTTACCTTGTAAAGCGGAAACACTTTACCTGCTAAATAACTCACGCCCTGCTCCTGGTAACCACCATTCTGTTTTGTCTTCACGACTGCGACCATTCTAAGTATCTCTTATAAGTGTGAGCAAATATATTTGTCTTTTTATAACTGGCTATTTCACTTAGCATTATGCCATTAAGATTCATCCCTGTTGTGGCACAAGGAAGGTATCTTTTCTTTTCCGGGGTAAATAACGTTACATTGTGCATATGCACTGCACTCAGCTGTGCGTGCACTTGTTGATGGACGCTGGGGTTGCGTCCATGTGTTTGCTGTTGTGACTAATGCTGCTATGGACATGGGTGGACACATCGTTTTGAGACCTTGCTTTCAGTTGTTTTGGGTATGTAGCCGCAGTGGGGCTGTGGAATCTTATGGTAATTCTGTTTTTAAGTTTTTGAGGAAACACTCTACTGCTTTCCACAGCAGCCATACTATTTTACACTCTTACCAACAGTGCACACATGGGGTTTCAAATTCTCTCCAAGATAGTAGCCATTCTGACAGGCGCGAGGCAGTATCTGATTGTGGCTTTGATTTACATTTCCCTGATGATCAGTGACATTCAACGTCTTTTCATGATTATTATTGGTCATTCTTGTATCTTTGGAGACCTGTCTCTTCAACTTCTTTGCCCATTTTTGAATCAGGTTGGTTGCTAGTTTCACAGGTTTTG